ATTTGTGGGACCTGCTGAATTTTCGGCTGCTACTCTGTATTTTACACAGGAAACTAAGGGATCTAATGAAGTTCTTCGGAAGAAGACACTACCAAAATCCACAAAATGTTCAGCTCAATGCCTGTTTTTCCCAAGTTAAATGGATCACTAGTACAGTTCAGAACTTAGTGTGAGATTCATATACAGCTTTACTTTCCGTTTTTTTTAACATAATAGTTCCCCCTCAAAGTCATTATTTGAAAAGGGCAATTTACTCATAGAAAGGTAAAAGATTCATAAAAGAACACTTTAAATTACAAATGACATTTTTACTTCCTCAAAGCATTTTTACATTAATTATTTCAACTTAAATTATTTCATATGACCATAGAGAGGGCAACAGTATCCTTTTAAAAATCATTTTTTTTTTTAATTTTTAGGCCTAGAACTCTTGAGGAGCAGAGCTAGGACAGAACATGGGACATAAAGGCCAGCAGACATGTTCTTCCAACTGTACCTGCGATTTACAGGAGCTGCTGGGTGATAAGTGTCCCATGTGAGATTCTATTGACCCAAATCACATTTAATGATCAAATCTACCGGAAAATATTCATTTATTTGTTCCCTTCAATGATTTAATTAGTCCGTGGTGCAACTAGGTACTGAGATAATTGAGTTTCAAAAGCTTCCAGGAGATCCTAATGTACAGCTAAGGCTGAGAAACACAACTACACACAACTGTGTATATTGGCGCAAATGCTCTGATTAGAATTTTTTTAAGGGGAGCAGTTAGCCACACGTGTGTTAAAATGAGAGTCCCAAATTGAAATATCCAAATCCAATGCGTCCTCTTTCTTACTCTGCTCAAGAATGAGGGCTTCAAATGATGTGATTATGGGGCCATTTGGGTGCTGAGGTATCCAGTTGCAGTTTAGCTCTTCTCTAATGCCCATAAAAATGAATAATGCATGCTCTAAAATATTGGCAATAAAGTACAAAAACATAGAATACAAACTCAATGGCCCGAATCAATGGATTATTCTGCAGACGGCTATATTGAGAAACTGAAAGAAAGTACTTTTCAAAGCATAAATATTTTAATCACTCTCCAATTCTTCTGCTCTTATATAAATAAAAAAACATTCCATCTGCTGCTTCCCAAGCCCGGAAGAGCAGAAGACAGCTGCTTTTCCAAACACTCTCTTACAGCAGTGGCACCACGCACTAGATATCTATAAACTGGGGTTCCTAGCAAGGCAGGTTGCAGAAGCCATTGCTCCCTCGATAGAACTTACTGTAGTTTTTGGACAAATCAAAATTTTGAATTGAGGAGCACTGATTCTCCAGTGAGGAAGAGGCAGATGGTTGAGTCCTGCTCACTGAGCCCTTAGTCACAGGATTGATGATTAAACATGCTTCCCAGGCTCTTTTTAAAGCAACAAGAGCCTGAGATGGTGTCCAAGCAAGTTCTAAAGAAATTATATCTCATGTTGGGCTCTTTTAAGATATTTCTGAATTAGATTCGGACAGTCTTAAGGAAGAAGAAAAGAATCCCATTAAATCTACCAGTAACTCAAAACCCATGTTTGTTTCTAAATTCAATCTCCTCTGCTACCAAGTTAATAACAAGAAAAAACTGAGCCGATTTAACTGTCACCTCTTTTCTCTCCTCCAATTTATTATCAGGTAAGGGAGAACGGGCTGATGGGCAGGCAGTGGGGAGAAAATCAGAAAGACCATCTTCAAAATGGACTAGAGGCTCTCACATAGGGGCCTTCTCTTCTGAAAAGGCCGGTAGAAACAGCACAGGGACATAAAGGAAAAGGGACATAATTATACCTGTATTTCAGCAGCTGCTAGCAGAACTCTGTGACTGCTATTATATCTACTAGTTAAAAAGAAAAACAAACAAAAAGTTCTGTTCATGTTTCATTAATTTAAATTCATACACACACTTAAAAATCTAATATAGCAAAAATCAAATATACACCGTAATAGGTAGTATAATCCACCCCCATGGTGTCTATGTTCCAATCCCCAGAACCTAGAAATATGTTACCTTATATGGCAAAGGGGAATATAGGCTGCAGGTGGAATTAGGGTTGTTATCACCTGACCTTACAATAAGGAGATTATCTCGGATTATCCAGGTGGCCCAGTATAATCACAAGTGTCCTAAAGAGTGGAAAAGGGAGGCAGAGGAGGGATTAGGGTGATGGGACAGGATGTGGATGGATTCAAGCTGCCCTTGCTGGCTTTGAAGACAGACAAAGAGGGCACAAACCAAGGAATGCAGGTGGCCTTCAGAAGACGGAAAATGCAAGGCAAGGGAACAGATTCTTCCCTAGAGCCTGGAGATAAGAACACTGCTCTGATACCCTGATTTTAGACCCGTGAGACTAATTTTTGGCTTCTGAACTATGGAGCTGCCTCTCCAGCCTAGAGCTGCCTGTCCTCGGCCATAAACTGACATCCTTATGTGGCAGCAGAGGTGTGACCCTATACATTAGCTTGTGATCCACAGACAATGCAAAAAAGTGGCAGTAAGGCCCTGGTAAGAGACTGGAACCTAAACCTGGCTCTTTGATCTTGTTGAAGACAATTTTTGCAGCCATGTAAGTTAATGATGAGATGTTTCAGAGTGCCACTTTGGGGAGCTTGCTGTCACCTGCCAGGATCTCACTCTGAGAAGGCAGGATGGCATTGCCACCAACCTGAGCACACATCTGTAACAAACCACAGGGACCTGAGAGCCATGGTCGCCTCACTCCTGCAGCCCAAGGCCTCTGATTTCTTTCACTAACAATGTCCTCTTAGTGTACATTGTCGTAAATGGTAATTTCTATAGCATTTAAATGTTTGATTCATTCCCTAAGTCTGCAAAACTTTGATAATATTTTCTAAATACTCTATCTGCTCCTAGAGCAACAACAACAGTATCTGCAGAATTGTCATTTATAAAAATGCAGGTATCTGTAATTCAGGATGAATGAAAGCAGGTGACCCAATGCCCAAAACCTACGATAGCCAGCGAAGTCTCTTCCTCCTGGAGGAACAGGTGTCCTCCGCACGTAAAGCTGAGGACCAATGGCTTTTACACTGCAGCACAGAAAGAGCTGAAAAGATCCAGGGCAAAGCGGCCTTAGCTACTTTCAAAGACAACTGATTTAACTCTCTTCTTCTTTTTTTTTTTTTTGGCTTGATTGAACAAAGCCCTCCCTGCTCTTTCTTCTCTCTTTCTCAGGGATGATTTGCACCTGAATTGCAAAATCTCTCATAATCAAGTGAAGTGCACTTAGGAGGCTGTGGTTATAATCAAAAGGAAATTAATAGGCTTCTATTCTCCCATTTTCTTCTTGAATCACACCTGTCCTGGGGCATAGCTGCTCAGATACGCAGTAGTTCTAGTTTGCAGCTTCTAGTCAGGGCTCTCTGCAGAGGGGCAGCACTGGAGCCCACTTGAGTGAATATTCAATGATGGCCAAGATGCAAAGGAAAGATTGTCTTGATGATGGAGAGAAAATGGTGTTCGTCTGCTGTAAAGACAGAACCGCTCACTATGTGGAGCGCGACAGACCAGTAAGAACCAGCCTGAGGCTGGGTGCCCTGGCTTTTTTTCTTCTTTTCAACTAGTATTGGTTCAAGATGTCACAAACCACATCTACAGTGGAAACAAAGAGTGAGATATAAATTCGGAGAGAAGGTGACAGGGAGACGAATACCAACAAGCATCTTCAGTACAGTTGAAATTCCGATATTATGTTATGCACCAAACATAACATGATAGCCCCAAAGGCCCCACAGTATGACTGTGAGCCAGACGCTTGGACTCTGACAGTCACGTCCCTGGCGACAGCTGAGTGGGTGTAGGGGATGGCGCCAACTCCACCTGAGCCATCTACAGGAGCAAATTGAAAGTATTAAAGGCTGAATGCCATCAGCTCTCATTGTCAATCAGACCTTTATCTGAGGATAAAGGATAGGATTCTGCTCATCTCTAAAAGCATGGCCAGCACTTCAGCTTCCTTTCAGTCGGCCAACACTCTTCTCTCCCTCCGATATTCACACAGAGAAACATGTGAAACTTACACTTTTAAAAGAAATTATGATATAGGAAACTATAGGGATCCTCAGTTCAAAGGATCAAATGCTTACACAGGGGCTTCATGAGTCAGTTCTCTTAACAGAGATCTTTCATTTTCATAAAAATTCCTTAAAAAAATTTTTTTTTGAGACAAAGTCTCACTCTGTCTCCCCTGGGTAGAGAGCCATGGTGTCAAACCCCACAGCAACCTCAAACTCTTGGGCTCAGGAGATTCTCTTGTCTCAGCCTCCAGAGCAGCTGGGACTACAAGGGCCCACCATACACCCAGCTAGTTTTTCTATTTTTAGAAAGACGGGTTTTGCTCTTGCTCAGGCTGGTCTCGAACTCCTGAACTCAGGTAATCCACCCACCTAGGCCTCTCAGAGTGCTAGGATTACAGGTATGAGTCACCACACCTGGCCCACAAAAATTCCTTTTGACACAGCACAGGGCAGATCATCTCAACACATGTGTAATCCACAAAAAAATGACTGGACTAGGCAGGGTGGGCCTCCTGGTCTTATCTGCTCCATACCAGTCTCCTGCACAGGGGGAAGGAAGGCTCCTGCCCCAGTAGATCTCCCAATATTGACAAGGTATCCCAAACCAATGTCATGGAATAAAAATAAAATTCACCTTGATAATATTTCCTAACAAAGGATCTCTGCCAGTGGCTTCAGCTCAGACAAATGGGGCACAGCTGCTCCAAGTGTATCCCCAGAGAGAAAGGCCATCCCTGTACACAGATGCATGTCTACTCGGGGACGTCTGTCTTTCTCCACCCTCCAGTCAACCTGGAAGTGTGGTCCTCCGCATTCCTCCACCTTGCCACCACCGCAGAGCAGCTGAGGGGCCGCCCCACAGCCCCTGCTGCTGGCACAGGAAGCCCCTGCTGCTGGCACAGGAAGCCCCTGCTTCTACCTCAGCTCCACATTACCTTGTTGAAGTCTTCAGAAGTTGCCCTCATTTCCTTCCAGGTCTTGTTCAGGAGCTGGATACAGATGCAGAAAAACTCCTCAAAGGACCTGTCGTGGGTGAAGAACATCGGGTGGAAGTCATTGCAGGTCTCACCGGCTGGAGGAGAGAGATGGGTGAGAAGAGAGTGCGTATTAAAGCACTGGAAGGAGAGGACACAGGCACAGGCCGGTCCCCCAAAGAGGCAACCTGAAGCATCCTTGGCTCAGGCAACACAGAGAAAAGTTATTTTGCAAAAGCAACCAAAATATGGCCCCCGGGTGCCTTAGGAATTTAAGGTCACAGAGTCAGACGTACCCTTAGGCACATACTTTGACTGATGAAAGTCAGCTCTTAACCCGCCCTGGGACGTGACCTGGGCTTTGTGCCATGACTGCTGGTGCTGCCCAGGAGTGCTGTGTCTGCCCTTTTGACCTCATAAAGACTATTCCAACTGCCTCAAGCCCCTCCATTACCCTCAATTTCTCCTTTCACAGGAGAAGGCAGAAGACAGGCATTCCTGAATAGGTTAATTGCAACTTTGAAAACAGCATTCGTGGTGATTTCTCCAGAGGGCTCTTTTCCCTCTTATGGCAGTGATCAGGGGACATTTGCGATCATTAAACATCTGATGTCATTAACCATTTGTTTTACATTCCCAGGCACAGATGGCTGGAGGTCAAAGCAACTCAAATGGCTTTGAAGGCTCAAACTGGTCCTGTCCTGGGCAAAACCATGACATCAGCCAAGACTGCCTTCAGGCCTTTGTTGCACAGAGGCCAGTGCTCTGAGCTCCAGGCCTGGCCACCTCTCCCCTCAGACCCTGCCTTCATCCCAGTCACATGACAAGCACACATGGTTATGCATCTTTTACATACAGTTCACGTCATTGCATTTTTATAATGTCTCTTCCTGCTCAGAACTTACAGATGAGGATACTGTGGGGCCCAATGAACTAAGGCTTGTGACTCCCCCCCAAAACAGGGCCCAAATGTATTGTGGGTTTTTTTGAGACAGTGTCACTCTGTCACCATGGTGTCATCGTAGCTCCTAGCAACCTCAAACTATTAAGCTCAAGCCATGCTCTTTTTTTTTTTTGAGACGGAGCCTCAAGCTATCCCCCTGGGTAGAGTGCCATGGCATCACGCTCACAGCAACCTCCAACTCCTGGGCTCAAGCGAGTCTCCTGCCTCAGCCTCCCAAGTAGCTGGGACTACAGGCGCCGGCCACAGCACCTGGCCATTTTTTGGTTGCAGCCATCATTGTTGTTTGGAGGGCCCGGGCTGGGGATTTGAACCCGCCACCTTAGGTGCATGTGGCTGGCGCCTTAGCCGCTTGAGCCACAGGCGCCGAGCCAAGCCATGCTCTTGTCCTCAGCCTCCCAAGCAGCTGACACTACAGGCATCCACCATGACACCTGGCTAATTTTTTCAATTTTTAGTAGAGATGGACTCTTGCTCTTGCTCAGGCTGGTCTAGAACTCAATTAATCCACCGGCCTAGGCCTCCCAAAGTGCTAGGATTAGAGGCATGAACCACTGCCCCTGGCCTTGTGTGCTTTTACACACAGTGCAAGTATTTCTATTTTAACTAGAATCTCTTTGAAGGCTGATTAGTCCTCAAGGCTCAGACGTTGGGATTTCAGGCCCTGGAATTCCAGGAAAGGTGGGGTGGGGGGTGTAATGGGAGGGAGGTTTATATTAGAGACCTTCTGTTTCTCGGAGAGCCCTGGTGCCTGCCAGGTGGGTAAGCATCAACTCCCCTCACAGAGAATCTTTTGAAGCAGACCCCGAGTGAAAGAACCCTGATCCAACTGAGGGATCACAGCCTACTCCACCATGGCCACAAGCTGTGACCCACCAACCTTTCTCATCCTCAACCTCCAAGAATACAGTGACGTCCAGGCCTCTGAAGAGTTTAAAACCACAGCACAGGCTTGTGTGTGCATACAGCTCATCCCTTCTGAAGGGCACAACCTGATTTGAAGATGGGGCAATGCGTTTTCTTCCAGGCGTGTCAGGGTAGAGGCTGGCTGCAATGCCCAGTCAGACAAGAAGGGTCTGGGCAGATCTGGGTTCATGTGCAGCCAAGACCAATCAGGAGCAGATCACTTCATCTTTTTGAGCCTTGATTTTCTTAACATAAAAATGGAAATGAAATCTCCTTTGCCCTCTTCCGAGGCTTCAGAGAGGATCAAATGACATAGTTCACAGGAGAGTGCTCTGGAAAGGACAAAAGCTGCCAAAAACACAGAGCGGTCTTGGTGGTGGCAGTGAATGCTGTGCCAGCATATTGTTCCCAGGAACACGACTTGTCCTGTGCTTTCCTCCTAATTCCTAGTCAGTTGTGTTCACATCCTAACAATTAGAAGCAAGAACATTTAAGTCAGCCTCACCCCAGCCTGTGTTCCTGGAAGAGAGATGGCCAACTGTGAAGCTCTGACCTGAGACACAAAGCTATTTAAGGAACTTGGAACACAAACCAGGGGCAGATTGTGCTGTTTGCTGCCCTGCACAGTGAGCTGTGGGTCTCATTTTCATGAGTGCTAAAGTCAATGAAATTTACAAGTCTACAGAAGCACCTTAAAACGTTAGTGCCAGGCAAGAACTCGTTATTAATCACATGATCACAGTATAATTTTTGGGTCCAGTGTGATTATCTATGTACTTTATGCCCTAGTTAAAATTTTATGGGATTACTGGGGCTGAGCTAGGCAGACAAACCGAGACCCCCCAAGCCCCACTGTTGCTAAGTTGGGTGGAGAGGGAAGTCATCATTAAGCACGTGGCATTTACCTGGTGCATCCTACGCGCAACCATCCCTTCAACAACCCTAAGAGATAGGTATCACAGGTACCCACCCTCATAGTTCTCTCAAAATCCATAGCATGACCTGCAGTCCAATGGGCACACAGCAAGTAGGTAACCAGCACTTGCTGACTGAGGCATGCAGCCAGGAGACAGCAGTACTAACGCTACAACACCTGCAGGTGCGTGCGGGGCTGGGTGGAGGATATTACCTGGAAGAGTCTCTCTAGACCACACGGGGAAGACGTTTTTACTTTATTTGTTCTTAAGATTAGAAGTAGGAGATTTAGCCTGGGCATGGTGGCTCATGCCTGCAATCTTGGTGTTCTGGAAGGCTGAGGCAAGATCACTTGAGCTCAGGAGTTCGAGACCAGCCTGAGCAAGACTGAGACTCCCCCGTCTCTACAAAAACTAGCCGGGCGTCATGGTGGACACCTGTAGCCCCAGCTCCTTGGAAGGCTGAGGCAGGAGGATCGCTTGAGTCCATCAGTCTGAGGTTGCTGTGAGCTAGGCTGAACCACGGCACTCTAATCTGGCAAAAGAAGGAGACTCTGTCTCAAAAAAAAAAAAAAAAGTTAAGTGACCTCTCCAAGGTCACATGACTCAAAAGCAGTGGTGTCAGGATTCACACTCAGGTAGACTCCTTCTAAGGCCGTCATTATCTGTTGCACTCCATTTCCTCATTCTCTTCCTCAACGAACCCTGCCTTTTGTGTACTCCCCCAACACAAATCTGAAATAAATGCTTCTCTGCCCATATAAGATACTTAGGAAGTAAAATCTCGCAGGGGTGCAACCTCAATTATTAAGGCTTAAAGTATACTTAGGATCTGGGATTCTTCTGCCTTCCCTACTACTTCACTGTGTCCAAAGGAAGGAAGTCAGATTCAAATTGCCAGGGTTACACTCCTCTTACGACCCTCCCTTCCCCAGGTCTGGGCCAGGCTCCACTCTTGATGGAGCCTGGGTACCTAAGAAATAGTCTACTAGTTTTGTTGAACCAACTCTTTGGTTTTCCTCAATATACTTTATCTTTGTCAGATTCCATAACACACAAAGTTTCCCCAAGGCAGTCAGTCAGCAGAGGAAGGTCATACCAGTTTAATTTATTTGATATTTCAAGAAAATTTCAAGTTTTTTCTTCCCCAAAACTCATAAATTGAGTTCCATGTTAATGGAATCCCAATTTTGTTCATGACAGCAAAGTATCCAGCTAAAAAAAAAAAGAATACAATTTGCAGTCTCTCTTGTCACAAAGAGTGGTAACATAATCCAATCCTAACCAAGGAGAGATATACGGAAATTGCCCGGGAGAGTTTCCAGGGAAAACTTTAAAGGGGGAAGGCGTTGCTGACTTGCCCACTGTTGCCTCTGCCTTCCCACTTTAACTTCATGTTTGGAACGCAGGAGTGATGACTGGAGCTCCTGCAGCCATTTTATCAGCATACAAACAAGGGTTGCCTCCTAGGCAGTTAGAAGGAGTTCCTGATGACGCTGTTGGTCATCACACCCACCTGGAAATGCCCTCCTGTGGAATTCTCTGTAGATTGAAGTCACTGTTTTCAGGTTTTCTGTTACTCTTACACATGTGAAATTACTGATAAAGAAACTTAAACTCAAGCAGGTACACAGACATTAGCATGAGAGAACATGGTCAGGATTACTGGAGGTCATGGAAGAAGTAGGAATTAAGAGACAGGACAGCATAATGGCTGCAGTCAGACAGACTGGCATTCAAACATCAAATCTGATGCTCACTAGCACACTATATGACCTCTAATAGTGAACCTCCTTGAACCTGATTCTTCATCTATGAAATATATAACCAAATGGAATGTAAGGTTTATAAGTATTGAATTAGATTTTGTATATAATGCATGTAGTAAGGAGCTTAGGACAGTAATGCTATGCTTAGCAAATGGTTGCTATATACATATACTGTGTGTGTGGGGTCTACACTGATGGGTTCTTATAGATATAGAGGAGGTGAAGTCAACCAATCATACTTGATGATTATGTAGAAACTATATAAAAGTACTTAGATCTCATAGCTGAAATTTCACCTCCTGAGGGTACACAACGTACAAGGTATTCAATGAATCTGCTATAACAACAAGGTATGATTAGTCTCCCAGTTTCGCAGACAAGAACACTGAGGTGCTGTGACATTAAGAAACTAGCAGAGACAGGACCAGAAATTGAACCCAGCCTTCTCCAGAGCCAGGCCTCTGTTTTGCACCTCCACGTGGAGGCATCAGCTTGCCGGCATCCTCAGCTTTTGTGAGAAGTGAGCAAAAACAAATCAAGAACAACTT